GCTGGGGGGTGGGTACGGACCCGTCAGGAGGGACACAGCCGGGACGTGCGGGTCTCCGGAGGGTGTTTGGGAAGAACTGCTGGGATGTGATGGTGGAGGCGGTGGGGTCAGCCCCCGAGGGCAGGCAGGAAGGCAGCAGCGTGCAACCCTTGACTCCAAGTGAGCCAGGTATGGAGAACCGGTGGGCTGGGGCTGGTGGGAGGCAGCGATGAAGAGCAAAGGAGCTGAGGGAAGTTGGGAGGACTTTGAGGAGAAGCTCAAGGGTGGTGACAGGACACCTGGATGGCTGAGGGCGGAAGGGCCTTGGGAAAGCTCCTGCTCCAACCCCCTGCTCTGGGCAGGGGCAACCGGAGCTGGTTGCTCAAGGCCGTGTCCATCCAGGCTTTGAAGGAGGAAAAGTCCATCTGGGTGTGAGAAACCTGGAACTGGAAGACTGTGCTGGCAAGGAAGAGCAAACTGGAACAGGTTCCCCAGAGATGTCGTTGTGGTTTCTCCCTCCTTGAAGACATTCAAAGCTGGACACAGACCTGGACAACCATCTCTGTCCCACCCTGCCTGGGCTGGGATGGTGGGAGCTCCAGAGGCTTCCCCCCCCCGCCCCGGTGTGTCTGGGATGCGTCACGGTTGGGGGTGGGGGGCACTACCTCCCTGGGCAGCCTATTCCAGGCAACCTCTTTGATCAGCCTCACTGTAAAAAAGCAGGGGGTTTTGAGGGGAAAAAAAAAAAAAAAAAAGGGAAAAAAAGTTTAATTGGAATCTCCTGTGTTTCGGTTTGTGCCTGTTGCCTCTGGTCTTGGCACTGGGCACCACTGGGCAGAGCCCGGCTCTGTCCTTCCCTCCCATCGGGCACGTGTTCACCCACACTCGGATTCAATCCCCCCTGAGCTGTCTCTGCTCCGGGCTGAGCAGTCCCAGCTCCTCTCACACAACAGATGCTCCAGCCCCTTCAGCATCTCTGTGGCCCTTCCCTGGACTCCAGAGCCCCCACTCCCCACCTGCCAACACTCCCCCCCACAGCCCGGGCTGCTGTCGGCCCCCTCCGCTGGGAGGGCACGTTTCTGCCACCTCTCCAGCTCAGTGTCACCACAGAAGAGTTTGTTGGTGTTGCCCTTCACGTCACCCAACAGGTTCAGCTCTGGATGGGGCCCCCAGAGCTGGGCAGTAACTCTGGGTGCACTCACAGGCTCACGGCTCGGTGCAGAGCCGCCCACCGGGACCGGGGAGAGACACGGATGTGCTGGGGGTCGTCCTGGAAATGCTGGGAACCCACGGTGGAGATCCACATGGGGGCACAAACACATGGGAGGGACCATTCAATTACCAGCAGTAATTGAAAAACATCACCCAGGTGTGCAGGGAGGGGGTCAGGCAGCCAGAGACCAGTCGGGGAGGGGATATGTGAGGTCAAGGAGAGAGTCCACCCCCACCCCGGGCAGTTGGGGGCTGCCCAAGGGCTGGGCCGGGGCTGGGGAGGTGAAAAGGAGCTGGAGAATCAGGGTCAAGGAGGAAAAGTACCCAAAATGGAGGAGAACAAGGCTGGGGCTCTCCTGAGACACCTCGACCCCTAGGATTGGTACCCAAGGGTGCTAAGGGGCTGCCAAGATCCTTGTGAGCCCCTCTTGGTCATCTCTGGAAGGTGACAGGGACAGGAGTCCCTGAGGGGGTGGCAAAAAGTCAATGTCGCATCTCTGAATGGCCGGTGCAGCGATGGAGCGGCCACTCAGCCTCCCCTCGGTCTCTGGGGACCACCTGAGCCCTCCCAGGGCACATTTGGGGCAGGTGAAGGAGCAGACGGTGACCAGGAGCAGCCAGGCTGGGCCATGGGATCAGCTCCTCACCCCCAGACACAGTCTCTGCTGGCAGTGAGGGTGCCGCAGGGCACCGCGCCGGGGTCTCCCACTGCCTGAGCCCCCACGTCCATGAGGGACCGGCCTGGGCAGGGCCGTGGGGAGGGAGCCGTGCCAGGCCCTGTCCCGTGGCGGGGGTACATGTGGTGCCATCCCCCCCCATGGTGGGCTCAGCTGCAGCATTGGTCCCTCTCGCCCACCTCCCTGCCCAAGCAGGGTCCATGCTGGGGGGGTTGGAGCTGCTCTGACCCCCCCCCCCAGTCCCGTTTTAAGGGCTGTTGTGCTCTTGGGAGTTTTTCCCGGTAGCTGATGGGAATTTCTTCTGCCCCAGCTTGTGTCACCAGCTCCCGCACTGTCCCTGTGCCCAGGGGGGGTCTGGCTCCAGCTCCCCACACCCCGGGAGGCAGCTGAGGGGCCTCCCCCGGCTGATCAAGCCCGGCTCCTGTCCCCGCTGTGTCCCCTGTCTGGCTGGGTGTCCCTGCCTGTCCAGGGACCCAGAACCATCCAGGAGCAGGGGAAGGGTCCTGCTGGCACAGCCCAGGCATGGGGGGCTCCTTGGCTGCCAGGACACCCCTTCCCTCATGATCACTCCCCAGGGCCCAGCTCCTGGGTTAACCGGACGCGGTGGCATTACACTTCCCCAGCTCCTGTGAGCCCGTCCTTGCCCATCCTCACCCATCGTTGGGGGTCCTGCACCCCAGCCCTGGCTAGCCAGGTTGCCCCTGGGCTTGCTGTGGGGTGCTCACGTCTGCCCAAGTACTGGGGGGGCCTAGCAGCCAGAGCTTGCTGCCCCCCAGGAGGGGAGAGGGGGGCAGTTGGGGACACCCCCGTGGTGTCCCAGCCCCGGGGGACCTGCCCAGCCCCATCCTCGGCCCCACGAGGAGCCCCTCGCCATGTGCATCATCTGCTGCATCAGCCGTGACGCCGGGGTGGCGTGGGACCGGGCGGGTGACGCAGCCGGCGCTGCCGTGGCCCTCCCGGTGCGGGGGGCGCGGGCCCCGACCCCGGCACTGATGGTGCCGCCGCCGGTGTGTACTCAGACAGCTCATCCCCGCGCTGTTTGCTCGCTGCGCCCGGGGACGGCGTGGCCAAGACGGTGTCTGGCCCAGCGGAGGGGGGGGAAGAGGGGGCTCCTCACCCCCAGGAAGGGGCTGCAGGTGGGGGACAGATCCCCCCCCCACATTGCGAAGCTCACGACCGCTGGGCTGCCAGCGTCAAGCTGCTCCGAGGGTCCCCAGGGAGCCATGGAGGGGGGTGGCAGCCCCCGTGCCCCCCCCAGCCCACACACCACACCAGGGACGACGTCCTCACACACAGTTTAATGTTGGGAAGGGGCAGCTCCAGTGTCTGGGGAATTGCAGGGGCAGGGCTGGGGCTCACCGAGGGGTGACAGGGACGTGCTGGCGGGTGACAACGCTGCCCACGGCGCCGGCTCAGTGCTGACCTGTGCGGGAAACGAACGGGCCTCAGCACCACGGGGGGGGCCATGGGACCAGACAGACAGGGAGGGGCTGGGGGTCCCTGAGGTGTGAACCCCCCGCTATTCACATCTCCACCACCATCTGTCCCCAGGAGGTGCCTCCTCCACCCCATGGGCACCCCATGGCCCCATCCCCTCAGTCCCAGAGAGGGTCTCACCATGGGGAGAGCTCGCCGGCTTCTGCCTCGGCCCCACATCTGCAGGGGAAAGGGAGTGACAAGCTGGAGACAGGGATGCCCCGTCACGCTGCAGGACCTGCGGGTCACGGTGCAGCCACACGGACACAGGGCTGGCCATGGCACGTCCTGTCCCCCCCCTCCATGGGCACGGTGGCCCCAGGCGCGTCAGGGACTCACCCTCCGCAGCCTCGGGCCCCTCCAGGCTGTCCAGCCGGTCCTCGTCTGCTGCGGCCTCGCTGCCATCGCCAGGTCCATCCGCCTCCTCCTCGCCCAGCGGCTCTGTGGGGCAGGGGACAGGTCAGCCAGGGACCCCCTCCCACATCATGCCTGGGGACACCCGCGGTGGGGACGCGACCAGCCCAAGGTGGGAGCCCAGCCCCGGTGTGGGACACGGCAGCCCACGAGCCAGAGGGGGCACGGGGCAGGTCTGACCCCGCAGGGTCCCTGGGCAGCGCTGAGGGGCTGCACAGCCCCATGCACGAGGGGATGCATCCCCATGCAGGGCATGAGGTGGTGGGGGGGCTTTCCCCATCCAAGGGCTGGTTGCTCCCAGCAGTGCCGTGCACCCCCTGCACCCTCCAGTGCTGGTACCTGTCTGGAAGTCGATGGTCCTCAGCATCTCCGCCACATAGTCCACGTTGATGGAGAAGTGGTCCATGTTCTCGTAGCCGGGCTCTGGGCGGCTGCTCATCGACACCTTGGACATGTCCGTGATCCTGCAGGGCAGGCAGAGCCCTGGGAGATGCTGGTGTCCCCTGTGCCCCCAGCCATGGACCAGCCACAGCCGTGACCCCCCCCTGCCACCCCGCCCCCAGCCCTGTGCCCCCCCCAG